GATTCACTGTACCCAGCTATTTCCCTTTATATGGTCTACCATTGTCGGATTTTAATGATCAGTACATGTACTTGTTAGTACTTGAACTTAATTCATTTATTTATAACCAGTAGAGAAAAATCGTTAAAGGCTGATATTAAATTCTGTGCTCTTCCATTAAAGCTACTAGGCAAGTGGATATTGAAAAATAAGCTCACCTCCGATAGTGCGTATCTAAGGACTGTGCATTGGTTCTAATTGGCTGCTGAGTAGAATTACTTAGAAGACACCTAATGATGCCCAGGCCTAACTTGGGACCAATTGAAGGCAACACGTCCTCACTGCTGATGCCAGTGGAATGGTGGGAAATCTCCAGCAAGCAAGCAACTGAGGAAGTTAGACTCATATGAATCTGATTGTATTGATAAGTATTCAGCTCCTGAAAAGGAGTAACACAAAGTCCTTGGCCTCAGGGTCTTAAGGAGTAGGGCAACAAACCCATGAGGCTTTAAAGGAACAGCAATGTTTTTAAAATTGGGACAAGATAATGTGATTTATAGAAGAAGGGATTCTGGGAAGAAAAAGCCTAAAAGAGGATATATTCTCACCTGGTTCATATTTTCAAAACTTACAAAAGAATAAACAGTAAAATTCTCACTCTCCTGTTTCCAACTTTCCATTTTCTCTCCTTTGAAGGCAGGCGGTCTAATATGTACAATAGTTAATTAATGTACAAGCAATGTCTTTTCCCCTGTTTCATGCAAATGACATTGTACAAATATGCACACTATTCTGCATTTTGTTTTGTTTCACTAAATAGTATGTCTTAGAGAATGACTTAAGGTTTAACAGTGCTCAAGTTCAAATGTTGCCATCTTAAATGTTGCCGTCTTAACTCACGCTTTGATAAAGGAATGTGATGTACAGTGGGGACTCAACAAGTGCTATTGTCAATGTCATCACTGTTCCAAAATAAACAAGCCCCTGCTTGGCAGCACCTGTCAGCTGACATGAACTTGGGTAGTATTCAATAAGGAATGTTGCTGTTTTCACCTCAGAACTGTAGGTAAAACATGCCTTGGGTGACATTCTCAAAAGGAGAGCTCAAAAAAAGAACAGATGTATTTCTAATCCTGCCACACACACACACACAAAAGCAAAGATACAGTTGACTCAAAACAATTTTATAACAAAATCTGCAAAACCACAAGTAGCATTTACCTCCAGCCTTGGATAAACTAAATTATGGGATTAATAATAAGGCAATTGAAATTCTTGCTCAAATATTTAACTTGAAAATTTAAGTGTATCTTTCTTTTTATGAGGACTTGCCTTTCTCTGTGTTCCTGTGTTGAAGTCATCAGTAGGAAATATCTGAGAAGTTGGGATGCTACTTGGTTTTCTAATTAGGGACCTTTCATTTGTAGTCCATTAATATTAGCTCATTGAATCCTACATTGTAGAAAGTGATACGTATAAGTTAATTTTAAGATATTTCTATAATTGTCCTGGATTTTGCCATGTTATGAATCTAGTTGACACTTGCAGTTGATATTTTATAAAACTCTGATGTGAACAAGCCATAACTTGTAACAGCTGAAGGCTTAGGATCTCTACTTAGTCATTGTGGGTATCACGTGAGGTTTTTGTTATTTAGGCAGTCACCAATAATGTAGACTTTAGTTTGGGGGAAAGGAATTTTAAACACCAAATGGCCATGACATTGATTTGAGTTTGAAAATTTTAAGTCCTAAATTTTTTGCTGCATTGCTCCTTTTGGTATGCTTTTTGTTTGTTTAAAATCCCTACAATGTTAGAATCTTATTTTTAGGAATATTGTTATAGACCATTGCTCCTTACTGAAGATGGAAGTTCTAGAATCAGTGTCATTTTCTTCAGTCAGGTCAGCCTGGTTAATGTGTTACTGGCCACTTTAATAAAGCATTGTAAGGAGATTGGATTGTTTATGTGTGCATGCTTGTCTGTGTGTATATCTGGGCAGGGGGTTACAAAGAAGAGTGCTCAATAAAATCAATACACCATTGAGTCACTTTTATTTAGTGTTCATGATAAAGGTTGCTTATAGGCTTTGCTTTAGTTTTCTGAAGCTGCTAGTTGTCATAGGTGCTGAGAACATACAAATCCTAAGTTTATTATTATATTCCTTCCCTTTATTAAACATAAATAGCTTGCAGCCTCTTTTATATTACTTTTAATACCACACACACACACACACACACACACACACACTTACTTTCCAGATCATAGGTCTATTAGCGTTTCAGCACCTTACCTGGCTTATTCATAAAATTGTTCTGAGAATTTAGAACATTATGCAGCTCATACTACATAATAAATGAATATTTACTAAATGAAACAATATGTGAGCACCATCTACTTTATCATAACTTGAATGAAAGCTCTTGTTCTGTTCTGCCTCATGTTACGAGGACTTAAGACTTACGTTAATCAGCAGGATATTTTTAGAAAAGGAAATTTCTTTATCATTATAATTTTGTTTTAATCAAATTTGAGATCAAATAGAATTTAAGAAAACAAAATAGAACGTATACATATCAAAATAATGTAAAAACAGGGAAACAATTTACTTGTAACATTGAAGTGTCTACTGGGGAAAGCACAATAAAATGGGAAACAACCATAACTGGAGTTTGACTAATTTATAAAGGAATATGATGAGGTTTTATGCATCACTTCCTTAGCATCCTGATGGTAATTCTGTTATGATTTCTATGCTCAAAAAATATAAGATTTGTTTAGTATAGGGTCAGAATTGCAATAGTAGTTATAATCCTATAATATTTATTTAAATTATGGTATAGTTTTTAAAATAAACTATTTTTAAAATATTTATTTATTTTATTTTTAAATTTTTTTATGTGGTACTGAGGATGAAACCCAGTGCCTCACGCATGCAAGGCAAGCGGTCAACCACTGAGCTACAACCCTAGCCCCTAAAATTGTGGTATAGTTTTAAAATAATATTTCTAATACTTAATTCATCGTTTTTGTTATCATTAGACACAGTTAATTGAAGGCACTGTAAGATAAATTGTCTTCTATGCAGGTTGTCTTACATGGTATGACACTTTTCACGTTGACACATTAGCTTTTAGTATCGTTGTCCCATGAAACTGGCATCAGAGTGGATAGAATTCAGTTTCAACTGGTCATAGAGTTTCTTTCTTCAGTGGAGGTCAAGCTATTTAAAAATATTATCTCAGTGCTGTCAGCTTATTGAGGAGATATTGGCAAAGTGATTTTTTCTTATTCAGCAAGCCAGAAACTGGAAATATAGACGGGACAAGTAAATTGCATAAAGCTTTTTAACAATCAGTGTCATGTGGGTGATAGTTTATTTCTCAAGTCACAATCCACTACTGTGGGGACTGATTGGTGCCTAACACACAAAAGTAAAAGTCAAATATGCACCTTGCTTTGTTAGAAAGCATGAGTTGCTCAATCATTCCTGACTGATGTGCTTAAGCCTTTAGAATTTGTGAGTCAAATTATGTACATGTGTTGCCAGATTGTAACTGGCAGATTTTATACTGTTTGAATGTGTTGACCCAAGTGAAGTAGTAATGAAATAAATTGAAATCAAGTGCTTTTTGATTGTTATGATAATAAAAATCAATTTTTATTTGCAACAAATACTTTCTGGTATTAAAAGAACATTAGAGAAAGCATTAGAGTTATTAAAAAAAACATAAAGAGGTTATTTTTTAGAGGAGTAATAAGGACAACCATTTAAAAATTAAAATAAAAATAGTGCCTTATCAAAAATCCAATTAGAAGTGGATATTGAATCTGTAGACCAGCTATTCTCGACCTAATATTTATTATCTGTTCATTAATTATCCTCTGTTTGGGAAGATCTCTGACTTTGCTACTAGCAAATTCGTTCCTTTTTGCCATAGTTCAGTTTCCCGTGTGTGGTTTCCAGAACAGAAGGTCCATGGAAGCTTGGATGGGTGGTTTGGTCAAAAAATTTCAGGAAATACAATATATTGTTCCCCATCTCTTGGAAAATGCTGATATATTTTGACCCTTTCAGGGCTTAAGAAATGATAAGAAACCTCTGTTCCTTTGCTTATTTCAACCTATTCCACAAGGCTTTTATTCTGAAATGTTCATATATTTTCAAATCATGTATATTAGCATTCCAAGCACCTTGCTTTAGAATCATAGGAAGAAACAGCAATGAGAAGGGATTGAAGAAAGTTATATAGCTGAGCCAAGATAGATTTTATGAGTCATTTGGGATATTTATAGTTATTCATTTATTTCAATAACTTGCTTATTTTTCTCTTTGGAGTAACATCAATTCAAATGTTTTGTGCTTTTTGAATTATATAATTTACCAAAATTGTTATATATTAATTAGTACATGATTTTTCTGTTGAACATGCATAATTTCACTTTGAAGCTTTGGAAAACATGCAGTTTGGGATATCTCAGGGGATTTTTTAAAAATGCATTGAGTTATTTCATTGGAGAGAGACATTTAATTGAGAAGGTCACTGCTCAGGAATCACTGTGATTTCAGATTTTTCTGCTTTCTCAAATGATTGAAAATTGCTATTGTCACTTTTAATAGTGATCATGAAAATACATGTTAATGGTAGAATAATGACCATATTTTCTCATTTAGTCTACCACACAAAAGCAATATATTTAATTTCTTGGCAAAAATAGAAGGAATCTTATTTTCTTAATTCGAATATAATATATGTTCCTCGTGCTTCGTCTTTCAAAATGTGAGAGAGGAAAAACTACAACTTGAAAGCTTTTAGGATGTTGGAAGGGAGCAAACAGCCTTTTTGATATCTGGGCATTTGTTTTGTTTTATTTATGGTAGAACATGGGAATATTTTAAAACTAAGATTTGTTGAGCACCTCGCTTTGTTAATATTGCTGTGTTAAATGTGTAAGTATTGAACTGTCAATGAAATATGAGACATTTTACCCAGTGACATTTTAAATGAATCTCATTGTAGGGGAAGCCTGTGGGAACACCAGATGCTGGCGCTTATTTCCGTGTGCTTGCTGAGCATGGAGTGGCTGCCTTGTTTACAGCGCCGACTGCAATTAGAGCAATCCGTCAACAGGACCCTGGGGCAGCCTTGGGGAAGCAGTACTCTCTGACAAGGTGAAGTAGAGATGCACAGAGCAAATTACATTAAAAACTGCAATCAAAATGAATAACAGATCATTATGTTTTTTTCTAGTACTGCAGTACTTCTATGGGGACAGTCAAAAATTCTGAATCTGAAGATTGGCTTTTTTAAAAAAATATTACTTTGAAATACTTGTAATGTTAACTACTATACTGTAGAGTTTTAAAAATACTATATCTTGTGTATTTCAGTTCATATCTTACCAATACATTTCTCTATTTAAACTCTCCTGCTTCTATGTTCCATCAGAAGTAAAATGCTGATTATGACTTCAAATACATGTAATTTCGGCATCTCTGACTCTCTTTGGAAAGTAGATTGGTTTAAATGGAAGGAAATATTATTTGAATTCATGTATACAGCTAAAATGAGAAAATTAGTGTCCAAATTACATTCGTGGAAAGAGTGAAGGAAATTATTTTTTACTTTTATTTTGTAGTAATGTGCTGTGAATAGTTTAGATATTTTTGTGCTAGTTTATTGACATCTGTTTTAGTTTAATGATATGTATATTCAAAGTAATTATAGCAATTTGTATCTTCAAGGCATTTTCCAACGTCAGTTCTCATTGAACTTTTTGATGTAGGTCACTGCTGTCAAAAATAAAAGATTTTGTAGTTTCTTGAATTTAAAAAATGGGCTTGAGGTAAGGTGATCTGAATTTTTTTAAAGTTAAATGCCAGAATATTTGAATTTTACATTGCAACTGCCCAAGGGAGTTAATCTAGATTATAATACATTCAATTGCATATGTAAACCAGCTTCCAACTTTGGCAGGGTCATTAGTTTCTTTCTTTTTTTATGTTTCACAAATAGACATGAAATTGCCTAAGATTACATTCATAATATAAACAGTGGACCTCCTTACCTCCTTATTTTGTTAATATAGGAAGGTGTCCATAAAATGAATCTTCCATTATAGTATTTTACTCATTCTTTTGTATTGTTCCTTAATCTAGAGCATTTCAATTTCTTTTCCTTCACGTCAATATAGAAAAAAATAGATTTCAACAAAAACAACTTAGAATGTATACAGTTCATATCCCTTGAGACAATTCCAGGGTTTAGAAAAAAATATAATTTTAGTTTCTTCCAGTGTGTCTTTATTAACACCCTAACTATGAGTGTAAAGTTGCATTACCAGCCAGCTAAGGTCTCACATTTGTTTCCTCTAGTTTTTCTGTTCGTATTTGGGTTTCTAGATCTTATCCTCCACACAATACTGAATGGTCCCTAAATCATTACTCTTTAAATGTATACATGGAGACTTGAGTATGAGATTGTTTTTTTTTGCAAAATGGCAAGAAATTTCCCCTGAATATGGCATCTGTCTCTAGGTACCTAAGTTATTCATCATGTTTTATGCATCCATCTATTTTTTTGTTCTAATTACTTGTATATGGCAGTAGAATGCATTCTGACACATCATACATAGCTGGAGTATAATTTCTCATTCTTCTGGTTGTACATGATGTAGAATCATACTGGTTGTGTAGTCATATATGCACATAGGGTAATAATGTCCAGTTCATTCCACTGTCCTTCTTAACTCTATTCCTCCTCTCCTCCCTTCACTCCAAAGTACCTCTATTCTTCACTAGCTCCCCACTGTAATTATTGTGAATCAGCATCTGCTTATTGGAGAAAACATTCAGCCTTTGGTTTCTGGGGATTGGCTTGTTTGGCTTAGCATGATATTCTCCAGCTCCATCCATTTACCAGAAAATGCCATAATTTCATTCTAAAACTACTCTAAGATTTCATCTCACTCTAGTCTGAATGGCAATTATCAAGAATACAAGCAACAATAAGTGTTGGTGAGGATATGGGGAAAAAGGTACACTCATACATTGCTGGTGGGACTGCAAATTGTAGCAACCATTATGAAAAGCAGTATGGAGATTCCTCAGAAAAGTTGGAATGGAACCATCATTTGACCCAGCTTTCCCCATCCATGGTTTAGATCCAAAGGATTTAAAATCAGCATACTACAGTGATGCAGCCACATCAAGGTTTATAGCCGCTCAATTCATAATAGCTGAACTATGGAACCAATCTAGATGCCCTTCAAAAGATGAGTGGATAAAAAATGTGGTATATATATACAATGGAATATTACTTATACATCTGTTTTTCATAGATACTTTAAAATATTTAACATATTTGGATTTTTAATCCACAAACACCCTCAACCTATTCAAATTGCTATTATTAGTAAATGAAAACACTTACTGATTACCTACAATATGCCAGATAAAATTTGTTGTCTCAGTTAATCATAGTAGTATATTTTGCCTTTTATATTTTTGGTCTATTCAAATAATCCCACCACTGAACTACTTCAGTAAATTCTTACTTGTTGAGAAACAGTAGGGATCTTGAACATCTATTTTATTTTGAAAACAAGGAAACTGAGGGCCAATAAAATGAAGTTGGATTAGAGACTGAATAATAGAAAAGAAGAACTCATCTTCTCATAAAGCTATACATTTAGTATTGAGTTTATTTTCAAGGTATTTCATTCTTACTGAGTCAACATTCACTAATTGTGGACTCTTGATTTTCAGTTTACGTCTTTCTTCTCTTATCCAGAATTCCAGAGGATGAAGTTTTCTTTTCAAATATGTTACATATCTCATTAAAATATTGTGTTTAAATAAATCTGGACATTTGCCAAACATTTTGGTTCCCAAAACAAGTTTATGAGTGTAACCTGAAATAGGGAGCTAAATTGAGTTGTTTACTTGTTTTAGCATAATATCATAGGTGACTAGAATTTGGAAAACTAGCTCAAAGTCATTAAGTATCACTGTCTTATTTCACTGATGAGAAAACTGTCACATAGAGGTCACATAACATTCCTGGGATTACAAAATAATCCCAGGCAAAATTGGACCTAGGCAGTACCATGTTGTATACATTTTCATCCTGGAGTTAGATTCATTCATGTCAGATCTATGGCTTAGTAGCCTTGTTATCTCAGGAAAATTACATAATCACTCTATTCTTCAGGGATTTCTTTTTTTAAAAAAATTTATATGTAATACATATATTTTAGTTGTCAATGGACTTTTGTTTTGTTTATTTATATATATGTGGTGTTGAAAATCCAACCCAGTACCTCATACATGCCAGGCAAGTGCTCTGAGCCATAACTCCAGTCCACTCTGAAGGGATTTTGTTGACACTCTTTGGAACATAAGGTTAATAATAGCTCAGGGGCCTAATGAAAATCAAAGGGGCATGGTCCAGGCGCTTGAAACAGTTCTTAACATAGACTAAGTCTTAATTAGTATTATTATCTTCTGTTTTCCAATTCACCACTGCTTTTCATTACATCACAGTGATTTATTTTCCTATGTTCTTTTAGTTCAATTTTAATTAAGTTAGAAAAAATCCAATGCTGGGATTTTCATTTGAGATTTCACGGCAACTTAACTTTGATGCTTCCCTTCTTTTCCAATTACCTACTGATGGGAGATAATATGAAAGAGAAAAAGCAGAACATCAGAGATGAGCTTAAAAAGTGAGGTAAACATTTCTGGGACTAGGAAAGGAATAGGTGTGCAAAGCGGTGAGTTGGCTGAAGACAGAGGCTTGTTTTGAGTATAAACAGGCATTGTCAGAACCATAGGGATTCAGCATCCCCAATCTGAGTACAGGAGCCTGCTCAAGCCAGGTATGTGGCTCATGCCTATAATTCCAGCTAAAACAGGAGGATCACAAGCTCAAAGCCAGCTTCAGAAACTTAGTAATGATAATGATAATAATAATAATAATAATAATAATAATAATAATAATAATAATGGCTGTGGATGTGGCTCAGTGGTTATGCCTGGGTTCAATCCCTGGTACCCAAAACAAACAAATGAAAAGAGACTGCTAAGTTCTTGAAGATAGTCTGACTGTTACTCCCTATGCTTGAAGGAGGCTAGGAAGACATGTGGTTAGTTGTTTTCTGGGACTTTGGTCTAGGGGGTCTGAATGAGACAAGGAACATCCCAGGAACTGGAGATTGAACAGAACCACCCACCTGTTATCCAAGAGCAGATCTGTGATATTCATAGATCACTGTAGATTAAGAATTTTGGATTACCATTTTACCACAGGACATCTGGGGAGCAGTTATATAGTGCATGAACCTATTGGAAAGAAAGATGAGCATTGGAGAGAGTCTGAATGATAAAAATAAAACAAAGAAACTATTTTTTTTTCAAAAATAGTCTGAAAAATAAAATTCCAAAACATATAAAAAATCTAAATCTAACAAATCAACAGTTAGAACATGGGTTGATTTCAGGGGAAATGTTTATAGTATTGTCAATTCAAATTTGATAGTATTGTCAATTCAAATTTGAAGCATGTTAAGGATGATCAAGGTCACAAATAATAACTTTCCCACAAAATAGTAAAAATAAAATAGTTATAAAAACAAAATAAAATGCAATTGATGGTATAAGCTAAGTAATACAATAAACATAAGGATACAACCAAAGAATCTAATAAAAACTAGATGATATGGAGGAAATTTTCCAGAATGTGACATATACAGAGAGGAATTAAAAAACCCAAAAGAAGAATAAGAAGTGAAAAATGTTTCTAATAGGAATTTCAGAGGAAAAGAATGGCATGTTTGTTAAAATTATTATTATAATTAATAATAATAATAATTTTAAAAAGATACTCAGAGAGCCAGCAATTGAGAGTGTTAACAGAATTGAAGAAGGACATGGATTACAGATAGAAAGTGCTCTCCAAGCAAGTTAAAGAAAAGCAAATTCACTTTGGCATGTCATTTTAAATTTCAGAACACCAACTGAAGCTATAGAGAAAATCTAATAAACTACCAGAGAGACTTGACAGATCACCAAAGAGGAATTTCAAACTGATGCCAATAGATAGGGTAAGAGACAATGGTGTAAGATCTTCAGAGTATTTAGGGAGAATAATTCTCAAGCAAAAAATTCTGTTA